TGGCCGGTGACGGGGTGGCAGTGGGATGCCCGCTGGGGCTGGCCTGGGGATGGAGAGGCCTCTGCCAGTCCGAGTAGCCCTGTGGACAGGCGTAGTAGGGCGGTCGCTGGTAGTGGTGGTAGGAAGGTTGAGGCTGTGGCTGGTAAGGGTAGGGCATGCCCTGGGGGGGCCGATACCGGGGGAAGACGCCGGGGTGGGCACTGCTTGGCTGGAAACCTCGTGGGGGAAAATGCTGAGGGTGGGAGGCAGGAGGAGGAGGCTTCCCCCCCATCATGGGACCAAAGCCCTGCAGACCCGGGTTGATGTGGTAACGCCCGGCTGAATTCGGGTATTCCAAACCAGGCATGTAGAGAGGGTGGAACTGGTTGGGGGCAGCCCCCATGGAGCTGGCGTCCATTCCGGGGGGGCCAGTGCCCTGTCCCATGCAAGGTACGGCCGCCTCAGGCAGAGCCTTCCAAAAAAAAACAGCAGGTTGGCAGCGAGTCCCTTCCCCTCAGTGCCGGACCCTGGCCCCTCACCCGCTGCCCCATTCTCAGGCAGGGGACCCCCTCTCTCAGAGGTGGGCACCAGGTCCCTCACACAGCCTGGGCCACCGGCATAGGTGCTCTCTGCTGGCCACGAGCCTTTGCCCTGTGCTGCCTTCAGGTCGCCCTTCACACTGGAGCCATCTCCCTCCCCATCTGGGGGTAAGGCGCGCCTCGTGCACTCCATGGACAGCGGGGGCTTGGGATGAGGTAGGAGGTTGGCGGAGGGTCCGGCAGGGCAAAAATTCTCGTCCATGCCTGCTGCTAGCTCCACTGGAAAGAGAGGAGGAAAAAGTCACACATTGGCCTAACTTCGAAAAATGGCCCTCCCAGCCCAACACATACACACACCTACTCATGCTCACCCAAAGCACACATGCCAAAGAGTAATTCCTGCCAGTTTAACCAGGTGTACCAAAATAGCCTCTCAGCATGCTCTTCTGCTGCTGACCCAAGTTGCTGGGCAGCTCTGTCCAGCATATCCCTAACATATGGATGGAGAGAACATTCCACTTTGTTGCTAATGCATGAGAAAATGAAGTGACTTTCTAAAGCCACAAAGGTCCTTACTTTGTGAATACTCCAAAGCCTATAAGGTTCCACCTTCTACTCAAACCTCTCTCCAGGACTGTTGGAGCCTGGCAACAGGACAACTGCTCTTCTGCAAGGCTGCAGCCTCCCTCCCACACTCATCACAATCTTCCCTTCAGAGACCTTTAGCAATTCTGAAGTGCATTTTTGCAGTGTTAGGAGACCTTTAGTAGCTGTTTCATTTAAAAGAGCTCTTTTAAAAACTACTTGTGAGGTTGCACCTCTCTTGGAAAAAGATAGCACATGTGGACTGAACCCTCAAGATACAGCCACAATAGTAGTTTGCAAGCCACACATAAGTCACAAGTCTATTGCAGTAACATTGCACACATGGGTTTGGTCTGACACATGGCGCTGCCTAATAGAGGGGCAGAATTGGGAAATACCACTGTGGGGTCCACATAACAGCAAGATTAGAAGATGGGGAAATAGCAGCGTGATTTCAGGCTGTGTTGCCCCCCTTCTGGTCCACAAACCCCACTTGCCCACAGAGTGGCAGAAGCACTGCCACAGCCGAGATGCTGCGGAGCCAATCGCAGCCATGTTTTAACCAACTGTGATTTGGAGATGCAACTACTCTGCCCTGCAATCACTCAACGTCCTCCCCTGGTCTCTGTTCTATATCCAGCACAGTTAAATGATGATGACTTTTAAGCAATGCCACACAAGGAAAGAGTTTGCTCCTAGTGCAAGGCACACGAGGGATCCATAAAAGATGCAAGGGTTTTGATCTCCAGTTTACCAGCTAGAATTAATGAAAAAAAAATATTTTTTTGATCTCTGGGGTTTTTTGATCTCTACTTTAGGTTTGGTTTATTTTTAAGTTGGTCTTTTTTTTTGATCTCTAGTTTACCAGCTAGAATGAAAGAAATTCAACTAGAAAGAAACTTGTGATGGCACACACGACACACTGCTGTCCCACGTGAACTGATACAGCTGCTGTGGAGAAACCATGCTCAAAGAAGTATATTTAAACCATTTATTCAAATAATGTCTTCTTTCCTTACCTAACTCTCTGCAGATCCAATTTTTATATTAATTCTAAGTGAGCTCTAGAAGCATCACAGTGTATGCTTCGCATTTGCACGCCATGGCAAACTGATAGCTTGCAGGTATAGCTGGACAGAGGGGACCTCTAGCAGGCTACAGTGAAACAAAACAACCTTAGAAAATCTAAGTGATGGCTGGAGTAGAAAATATAACCCAATTTGGGTTAAAGAAATAGACACATGTAAAAAGTGAATGCCCCATCCCTGGCAGTGTTCAAGGCCTGGTTGGACAGGGCTTTGACCAACCTGGTCTAGTGGAAGGTGTCCCTGCCCATGGCAGGGGGGTGGAACTAGATGATCTTTAAGGTCCCTTCCAACCCAAACCATCCTATGATTTTATTTAATCAAGATTTTAATTATTTCATAGAAACAAACCCTGAACCCCTGCTTTTGTTGCTGAGCCTCAGCCACTGCTTAAAAATTCTAGCAAGCCTGAAGGTCAGGACATATTCTCCACTTCTTTAGTAGCACAAATCCAAATAAAGCCACATTTGCGGACCCAGCGCATCTGCATGACAGTTAAGGTTTGGATCCCTAGAAATTTGGAGCCCAACAGCAACAAATCCAGCCTGGGGGTGCTCCTGCCTGCTCCCCACAACCACACACCAGCACGGAACGGGAAACGGCGGCACCGTGCAGCAGGCAGGAAGGATGCCTGGCAGCGAGCAAAGGGGAGGTGGGCAGGGGGATGCAGGCAACAGATGCAGGCAGGAAGGCCGCCCGAGAGGTTACCTTGGTTGCTCTCCATCTCCATGGTCTGTGCGGTGGGATCCTGCGAGCCCCCGTTCCCCGCAGCGGGCTTCGGGGGCTGCATGCCAGTGGAGGAGGCAGCATGAGCCAGCT